GGGAAGTGAAAAAATAATCGATTATGAAAATAATCGATAATAATAGTTTTTTTTAAAGTGAAAATCGATTTTTTACGCGATTTTAATATTAAAAATAATCGATTGATAATCGATTCTTTCTGATTCTGATATACTCGATGCATTGATGTTTTTTTATAAAACATCGAAAGGGTGATAAAACTAGTTAATTTCACAAAAACTCAAGTTTGAATTGATAATATTTTTTTATATATTATAATTTTATATCGCTATAATTTAAAAGTTAAATAAATTTATTCAGCAGCACAAGGTTACATACAATAAAAAAGACAACAAAAATACTGAAAAAGCATACACTTAGCATCTATCAAATTTCACCTAAAATCTATCAAAATGAGATTAGGTTAATTTCAATTTTGACTATTTATAATATCTATTGTTGACTTTTAATTAATAAAACCGTGATAAATGAAATATTTCAGGTATTTATTTTGAAATTAATTTAAAAATTAAGAATAAGCGATAAATAAAAATATTGATTATTTTTTTTAAGAAAAATCGATTAATAAAAAAACTATTTTTTTATGCAGAATGTCACATCCCTACTGTCAAGTTTCAACCTATTCTACCTTCATTATATGTCAAATGGCAACACAGATAATTAAAATCGATAACACTATAAAGTCTAAACTCTAAACTAAATGGCATTTTACAGTCGTGCTCGCTAGCTACTTCAGTTTTTCTGTGCTAAAAATGAATCTGTGAAATCATTAATCAACCTTCAACCTACGAATTTTATCATATTATATCAAAAAATATATTAAATTTCCTCTTCATTTCCATTTTTAAATTTTTACCCTATTTCCCTTGAAATAGTTCAGATTATGGTAGTTACATTTAATAATTATTGTTAAAGAAATAGTTTTTAACAACGTGTGTCGTGTTCATTAACCTGTGATATTGTTTATATTAAATAGTTAAAAGAGTATACCTTAATAGAATCATGCCCGATACGTACACCTGTATAACCTGCCAGGTTCTCTTTAATTCTGCCGATTTGCAACGAGAACACTATAAATTGGATTGGCATAGGTATAATTTGAAGAGGAAAGTAGCTGGTATCCCTCCAGTGACTTTGGAAGCATTCGAGCAGAGAGCTAAGGAACACAAGGAACAAAGCCAAAATGAAAACTGTGACGAATCAGTTTATTGTAAATGTTGTTCCAAATTGTTTAACACAAAAAATGCATACAACAATCATCTAAATAGCAAGAAGCATAAGTTAGCTGAACAGAAAAGTGTCCAAAGTGATAAAGAAAATGAGAAACAAGAGGATGATAGCCATTCTGAAACAAATAGTTTTGAGAAGATTGAGACTAATCCACAGCCCCAAGAGAAATTTGTTGTAGTAAAAGCTGACAATCAGTCTGATGATGAGGATATTGAAACTGATTCAGAAATTGAAGAGGTAAAAATGTTGTTTAAGTTCTCTGTTAAGTACATTTTGCGAAATCTTAGTATTTAATTTTTGTCACTTATATTTAATTTAACAACTTTTTTTTACATTGTGCAATAATTTTATTTTTCCTATCAGAAAGCAATATATATTAATTTATAATAATTTAAACCATTGATTTTATTTGCAGCTTGATTCAGATGAGTGGGATGAATGTAGAGTTAAGGGTAGTGATTCACTTATCAAACCCCAGGATTGCCTGTTCTGTGGTCACCATAGTAAGAACATGGTGAAGAATCTTAGACACATGTCTGTTACACATTCATTCTTCATACCTGATGTGGAGTACTGCATTGATCTCAAGGGACTGATTCTGTATCTGGGGGAAAAAGTAAGTTACATTAATATTCTGACCTGAAATCTATTAAATGTTATTTTGGTTATATAGAAGTCTGATTAATGTATTATGTTTGTCATTCCTAAGCAAATTCTGTTTGTTTTATATAATTTCTATTATACTTATCATTTGTATTTTAAGATGATGTTATATAAGCTAGTTAAGTTTTTTAGGTCTGATATATGGTCAGGATAATTAATTTATTTCTATAGGATATATAATTTCTAGCCTATTTTTTGAGTTTTATGAGAATGTTTTAAATGACAATATAATTTTGTAGATATCTCAAGGATACATGTGCTTGTGGTGCAATGACACTGGCAAGACATTCTATTCAATGGATGCAGCACAGGGTCACATGATAGATAAAGGACATTGCAAAATGCTTCATGAAGGAATTGCTTTGGCCGAGTACTCTGATTATTATGATTACAGGTAAGATGTGTTAAGGTAAAATTCTGATTCAAGACTTCTTGCTAATTAGGACATCTGTATGTCCAAAATTTCTTGAATTTGAGATATGGTAGTCATACTTAGCGCTTAGTGTTTAATATCTTTTGTTTATCAAAAAATAATGCTTAGTATAATTTAAATTTGTCTATATAAGTATTATTTTATTTTATATATTTTCCTTCTTCATACATATTTTATTACTTGTACTGTAATTAATTATTAAGATAATAGTTATGTGTTATTTCTTAAAATAAGTATAATGTGTAATATGCTTTTTTCTTATAACAGCTATTAAAAATATCTGTTATTTGTAAAGCTCATAAACTAATGGTTTTTCCTTAGACAAGTAGATGATTAGACTTTGATTTCTTGGAATATGACCTTAAATCTCAGGTTTAAACACATGGCTTCACCTACTGAGCCCGAGGGTTTCATCACTCAATGTAACAATTTTTATTTACTAACTGTGTAGATCAGATTCACGAAATTAAATTTGCACCATTCATTAACATAAAACCACCACAATTTCCAGCTCCTCATACCCTGATCATGCAGATGGTGATGAAGATATGGTGGTGGATGAACCGGCAGATGCCACTACTGTTGATGCAGATAATTTCCAACTGGTTCTTCCGTCTGGTGCAGTTGTTGGACATAGATCCTTATTGAGGTAATACCTAAATTTTAACACTTTTCTTTCTAATAAATTTTCAAGCATTCTGTTTATGAGGCACTACCTGCTGATCTAAGATTATCACTATATTATTATGACTATTTATGTAATTATGTCTTTGGTTTACACAAAGTAAACCTTGTAAAAAATATTCAATTATTACATTATTTATAACAGTCTTGCTGACCACAAATTCATAAATGCTGTCTTCACTTCACCCAACTAAATACAAAATTTCATAAAAATTTATCTAATCTCTCAATTTTGTAATATGATAAAATTTTAAATATAGCCTTTTGTTTGCAAATGTATTTCCAATTGAATATGATTAAGAGTTTGGAAAATACTATATCCTTCCTTAAATGGATGGCAGCCCACTTTTAACAAATTTTTCTCTTACCCCAGAATATACAAAGCAATATTAATTTAATACTAATAAATAATTAATACATTGTTTCACCATATGGAGCAGTGTTGGCCTAGTCGCTTCAGCGTGCGACTCTCATCCCTGAGGTCGTACGTTCGATCCCCGGCTGTGCACCAATGGACTTTATTTCTATGTGCGCATTTAACATTTGCTCGAACGGTGAAGGAAAACATCGTGAAGAAATCGAAATGTCTTAGACCCAAAAAGTGTGTGTGTCAGGCACTGGAGGCTGATCTCCTACTAGATTTTAAAATGATCATGAAACAGATTTAGAAATCTGAAGCCAAGACCTAAAGAGGTTGTAGCGCCTCTGATTTATTTATTTTATTTTTTGACCATATGAAATGTTTGACATTATAATGGATTTGTCTTTGGCCATAATATAAATATATTGTAAATTTTAATTCAGGTACTACAAACAAAACTTGCCAGCGAGCACAGAAGTGGTTCTAAAGAAGTCAGAACGCAAATTGCATCATTTGTTGGGAGTGTATCGGGCCTTGGGTTGGGCTCCCAAGGAACAGGCTGCTGTTGCCAAGTAAGTTAAACAAAATTAAGCAATTTAAATAAGGCTGAATAAATGTAATTGATAATTTATATAAATCCTAAAAAAACAGCCCATAAAAGGAAACAAATTAGAATGCATGAATTGTAAAAAAAGGGTGCGTGTACTAAAGGTGCGCTTACACGAGGGCAATAATTGCTCGGCGACACGAATGGACCGATCTGGAGCAATTAATGGAGCAATTTCAATAAATTTAATAAATTTCAATAAATTATTTCGGCGATATTGCCTCTAATTGCTCCAGATATTTCATATCGCTCAATGTCGCAGATATGAATTGACGAATATCCAATGGACTTGGAAATTCCTAGCAATTTTTGTATATATCTCATTCGCACTTGTTTCTTTTGCGGCTTGCAGTCTTGCTTCCGCGAGGAGAGCGAGAGGTCTAAATAATAAAAATTTCTAATTACTTTATTAAAAGTAATTCAAAGTCTGTTCGTGACATTCTAGTAAAGTTTTTGAATAATAAGTCATCTAATTATTTACACAATGAAAATTGCGGCCTCTTTGCCAAAAACGATCGCACCCAGATACGCCTATTCCTTTTCTTTCTTTTTTGTTTTTGATTAATAATAAAAAAGCGCTACAAGCCGCCGCAGCAAGAACAATGTCGTCCATAGCGAGCGAAAACTGAAATGCCCGTGTATGACAGTATTGCCTAGTTGATGAAGTTGCGCCATATCGCTCAATATTGTATTGCGCAGTATTGATGCTTGTTGCCGTTGCCGTAAATTGCTTGATGTAGTCGTGACGTCATAATTGACGAGTATTGACTGGAATTGAGTAATTTTAGTTGCCCGTGTAAGCGCACCTTTAGGTACGCGCGTAAGAAGTTATACTTCTTTGGCATTATTAAAAATAGTGTGATTGCATACAAATAATTAATTACCATTAAATAATCAAAGACTGGAAAAGGAGTCATTATAGTCAATAAAGTTCAGTTTACATTTGAAAAATTAAATAAATAAATATTTATTACTATTCTCTAACATTAAGTGCAACATAAATTCTATTATTATTCGAATGTTGTTTTTAAATTATGTCCAATGCCGTAGCATCTTCCGTGGGCAACTTCATTCTGTTAATTTTGTGTCACGGTGCGCGCGCATCGTAAAATTTCACTCTCATAAATTTTTCATAACGCGCCTAAAGAAGTATAACTTCAAAAAGTGATTGATTTGTGTCCTGTTTCTGTATGCAAAATAGGCGTCGTAATAATAGTCGACTGCTCTATAAAGGGCTGATTTGACAACCGTTTTTTTTGTCATAGAATAGACTACGACTCGTAAGTAGTTAATTGAAATCTTTTTAAGAGCGCGCAAAAATTGTATTAAGCTGATAATGTTTTCCTAACGAACTGACCTTTTGTAGTGTGATATAGAATCTATACACGCCTAATAATAATGATACTATTTATGCAAAGTTTTTATAAAACAAAATTAATTCCCTTGATTTAACACAACTGTCACATTAATTTGATAAAAACAACCATAAATAATCTCTAGCTAGCTTTATCATATTTTCTTAATAATAAACAACTTTGCATTTCCGATATAGATAAAGTTCATACCTACAGATAACAATAAACCAAAGTGTAGGGTATATTATTTATAGCCTCTTAGGATCATTACTCTAACTAATTTAGACTTATAGAAATGTTCTGTAAAATTTATAATTACATTATCTGTTTTACTTCAGCTGTTTTGCCCCTCTAATATTTTATGTTACTATATTTTGTATCAAAATACAATATATATATTTCCTGCCTTCCGATCTCACTTAACATACATAATGTTGCCTGTTGCATTAATTATTTAAGTTTTAGTAGATATTATATAACATTTTTTTTATACAGGAACGCTCGCGACATTCACTTTATGAAGCGTGTTCAATCAAAATGGCAGATGAAGATGTCGATGAAAAATAACAAGTTCCAGAAACATTACAGGCCACAGGTCAACTTTTAGGTATATTTTCTTATTTTATTACAAACGGTGTGTAGTCGCGATCCACGACAATCGCTTTTGTCTCGTATATTTTATTCGTTAAAGCGAAATTTAAATGAACTTGTAATGGGCTATTTGACAAATTAAAAACCATTTCTGATTACATATATTTTATTAATTCCTATAATTTGTACGAAGAAGAAGAAGTGTGAACGAAGTGTAAATAAATAAATATTAGTTACTATACAAATTGTTATTTTTAATATTGTTAAGTATTGCCATTAAAAGTTAACTTAAACATTAATTATTGAAAGAACGCGTTAAAACACATCTCAAGGCAAGATGGCGTCGCGCCAGTCTCTGTCATTTTATTTACGTCAAGTTTTTTATGTGTCAATTATCATTCTTAAACTACACAAATAACATATAAATGTGTAAATTAAAAAAAAAAATTCTATGAAAATCACTCTCAGACGACGGTAAACTACAAAATAGTAGGATTAGACAGATTATTTATTTACATGTTTTATACAGATTACTTTTAAAAGTTTTTTCATACTGTCAAATAGCCTATTTTGGCATAAATATTGCACCAGTAACTACATTATTTAACCACGCGTGTAATACACACACGCGTTTGCCATTGTATAAAATAATACAATTTTTAAGTACATCTTATGAAAATAATGAAACCATCATTCCACAACGTACCGCACAATAAATACCGATGTAGCGAATATATAACATCATTGTTTCGTGTTATGTGCTGTTATTTAAAAAGCAATAAAAACGTTAAGTTTACATTTGTGTGTTTTTATTACTTGTTTTAAAGTATTTATATTTCTTCTTGTAATGGGATATGTCCATATTACTTCCTTGGTCCAAAGTCCATGGTATTTTCACCGGGTTAGGGTCTATGGATAGACTTATTTTGTACAGTGGAAAAGCGTTCACTTTACCCTTCAGTAAGTTTGATATAGTTCTGGACAGGCCTTCGTTTATGATGTACTTTGAGTCGATGTTTGAGATTTTTGAGAAGTACTTCTCAGCTACCTTTAAGTCATTGTCTTCAATACTTGCTTGTTTAGCTTCCAAGCCAGTACACGTTCTTATAGTATATATAAAAAGCTAAAAAAAGTTTTGAGATTGATGTAAAATGTATCGGAAACCTATAAAGAGATAAGGAGTTTTATAGGGCAGATATATGCTGGGGATATTTTAAAGGCAAGTCGGTCATTGGCCTTCTATCCCGAAACAATAAATTCCTCAAGAATAGAATTTCCCGCTAATACGCATTGAATCACGGAAACAACGATGCCTCCTTGTTCTAATAAGTTACGAAATGATTCTTTAGAAAAAACTTATTTCCAATTTTTAATAACAGATTATGCCAGTAAACAATATATAGAAATCTTAGTACAGATTGAGGAAACCTAGTCGAAAGTTTGACTTCCTTGTCTTCAGACTACAGTATTTCCCCTATAACGTGGTAGGAAATCGCGTTGTAGGAGTATTATCGTAAAACCGTTTTTTTAACAATTCACACACTAGGAACACGTATTTAATAAAGTTATTTAATTTAATTTTATAACAACACAATTGAAACTGGTGCAAAGGTACGCAAAACTAATTATGGACTTGACAAATCATTATAAATTTTACACTACAGAAATATAACTTAAGGAATCTCAGGGGGAAAGGGGGATTAATGTACCCATATTTTATAATTTTAATAATTATAAAATATGGGTTTAAAAAAAATCTATTGAACGAAAGTCCGCTTACCACACTTATAGATAATACGTAAGTATAAACTTTTTTCATTATTATAATTATTATATCTTAAGTCACATAGACGTACTATAGAAAATTTGTCGTAAAAAGTAATTTTATGTTGGAAGCTTTTATTTTCCAGCTATAAAATTTTACGCCAATTGGCATCTTAATAAAAAGTAATTTTTGTTTGATTTATTTATTTCTACACTACATATACAGTTATACAGACTTTAAATGCGCCCTGTAAGGACTATGTCCTTAGCTCATTGATTAATGTCAAATCGTCATGACGCATGCGGCGTTACCTCGCTCTGAGGCGTTCCTTTTAAGGCTTGAAGTGCAAGCGAGAGCGACAAAGAGGTAGTGTTCGTTCGTTAAAAAATTTACATAATTGTATTAATGCTAAAAAAAAATCTATCAAATAAATAAAATTTAAATTTTCTTTTGAATATTGCAACCATTCCATCAGTATTTTCTTGTGACGTTGTCACGTTCAACTATCGTCACTAAACCGACTTTACAGACAACCGATTTTTTATATTATTTTATCGAACATTCTTATTATGACGTTAAGTTTAAAAGTCTTAGCTCGAAGTATGACTCTCGTATGTGAGAGCAACGCGCTAAGTTTCGTTTCTGAATGTTATCTACCATTAGTGACTTGAGTTTAACAATCTAGTTTAAAAGAAAATGGACAGCAAGCCGGCATTTAAATAATTGGAGGCGTTTTTGACAATTGCAATAATAAAATCGGGGCAGTGATACTTTATTTATTATTAATAGTAGGCCATTCCTGGAAATTCTTTGTTAATTATTATACATTTGGCTTAGTAATTTTTATATAAACTAATGGTTACCTAAATAAAATAAATAAAAAGATACAGAAATATACTATAAAATTGTGGATATTAATTATGGTGCGTTTGAACGGGCAAATCGGTCACTCCACGCGGAGTTGTCCCTCGCCTGGAAAATCCGAGAGCAGCCTTCAAAATACAAAGTCCGGCTTCAATTGTCCTTTTTCTATCAGAGTCATTTCCAATTGCCGGATTTATTTCAACGAGGTCCAATGCCCTCAAACGGCCCGTCGAGTGAATAATCTCCATCAGTTTGATCGCTTCCCGTAACGTTAGGCCTCCTCTCACTGCGAAACATTAAACGATTTATGCATTTCAGTTTTCCAATAATATTTATATAACACAAACTAAAAGGCTTTGATTTCTAACCTATAGTCGATTAAGGTAATCTAGAAATTCAATGAAAATAAGTTACTTAGAGCTGAAAAGGATTTAAAAAAATTATCTAAAAAATAAAAATAAAAATTTAGGGGTGGACCCTTAACATTAAGGGGTTCGAAAGATAGTAGCCGATTCTCAGACTTACTGAATATGCATAAAAAAATCAGAAGAATCGGTCGAGCCGTTTCGGAGGAGCATGGGAATTGGGAACGAACATTGTGACACGAGAATTTTATACATTCGGTTATCACGCCTTTTTCCGACGGTGTAGGCAGAGACCACGGATTGCCACTTGCTACGATCCTGACATCCTCGCTTCATCCACTTTCATGAAATTCACCATGTATGCTCGTTGGTTATGGGTACTTTAACTTGTCCCTTACATAATATGAAAGATTTCAAGGGCTGTTCTTTACCTTCACCATGAGTTTATTTAGCATCAAATCGTCTGTTATATATTAAAATTGAAAAGTGTTGTAGCGCTACTGGTTCCACATAAAACTAAGAATCGTTAAAAATGCTTTCAAAATTTATTGTAGTGCAGTTGGATTCGAAACAAAATGCAGACACCCAATGATAGACCACAAGCCCATGAACAAAAAGTACCTGTGAAATGACCCAACCTGAATTACGCTTAGAAGGCTGTTACTATATCTGAAAATAGCTCTGAGCACTATGCCGTCATTTCTGAGCGGTACATGTGAGTACGTGAGTGAATGGACTTTCTCATGTACAATGGGGAAATTTCGACTAATTATTAATGTACGGCTTTGTTATAAGTGTATAGATGATTAAAAATAAATGTCGAAAAACCTAGTGCCGTACAAAAGTGATGGTGCCGGAAGTCGGTGCAAATTTTTAATTCGACGACAGTTGCAGGAGCAATATAGGTCATTTATTACTGTACGGCATTTGTGTCATTCCTTTTGGACACATATACAGATACTTTACCCGTAAACGCCGTACATATTCCCAGCGGAGCGGTCGAAAGCCAAGGGCCGCAACATATGTCTGATTAGCATATAGGTGATGATGATATGAATCAACATAAAATTAAATGATCTTGAGAGTACTTCACAAATAGATAACATTTTCCAGCATGCCGTACTTTTTTTGTGGAACACATAGGTGTATGGGGCAAATTACTTTTCTCAGAAAAGAGTCATTTTCCGGTGACTTTTATCTGTACGGCAATAACACAGGTTATTAATACTTTAGACAATCTTCAATAAAAGATAAATGCCGTACACTTTCGATAGTCCGCTACCACCGCCTACCAATACAGGGCGTCCCAAAGTTATGGGAAATGAAGGGAAAGTACCTTAAATATCGTAGATAGGGTATTTTACTAAAAGAAGACTTTATGTTATTTTTAAAAGTTATTAATTCTGCATTCAAAGATTTTTAAAAATTACTTGCCTCGTCTGGGAATCGAACTGACTTAAATGTAAAAAAACACCCCTACTTTTATGATGCCAATCGAAAGAATGGCCAAAAACTAATAACTCTTCTTAAGTAACATAGTATTTTAAAAGAAAGGAACAGCGTGAATATATCTTTTTAATCAAATTAAAAACATTATCTATCGTATTCGGCCTAAAAAAATCCCCTACGAGTCTGTTACTTTAGAAAAGTTATTAGGTTTTGGCCATTCTTTCGATTGGCATCATAAAAGTAGGGGTGTTTTTTTACATTTAAGTCAGTTCGATTCCCAGACGAGGCAAGTAATTTTTAAAAATCTTTGAATGCAGAATTAATAACTTTTAAAAATAACATAAAGTCTTCTTTTAGTAAAATACCCTATCTACGATATTTAAGGTACTTTCCCTTCATTTCCCATAACTTTGGGACGCCCTGTATTGGTAGGCGGTGGTAGCGGACTATCGAAAGTGTACGGCATTTATCTTTTATTGAAGATTGTCTAAAGTATTAATAACCTGTGTTATTGCCGTACAGATAAAAGTCACCGGAAAATGACTCTTTTCTGAGAAAAGTAATTTGCCCCAT